CCGCAGCACCCGCCCCGCGCCCGGCGCCCCGCCTGCGGCGCCCGCAGCGCGGCGGCCGCGGCGGCGGCGACGGCCATGGAGCTGTCTTTGATCGCGCGCATCATGCCGGGCGCGTAGCGGCGCTCCAACACCAGCTGCATGGTCGCCCCATCTAGGGCCTGCTGCTGCATTAGGTAATGCAGGCACCACCACACGTGCACGCAGCCGCGCAGCGCGCCCATGACGCCGCTGATCTGCTGCCGCGGCAGGCCGCCCTTGCCGCCCTCCGCCCGCACGCCGCCGGCGCCGGCGCAGCACGCGAAACGCGCCGCGACCGCCGCCGTGCGCGGCAAGTAGAACGGGCGTCCGCATGCTTGGCCGACCAGCCGCTCTGCTTTCGACAGCTCCAGAGACTCCCCCAGTTTCTTCACTGCATCCGTGAATCGCTGTTGGCAGGCAACCATTGCAGACGCTTGCTCCGCTGCCGCCTGCTGCGCCTCCTGCTCTTTTTCGCTGGCCAGCACCCTCAACTGCACGCCAGGGATGGAGGCAGCACCGGCAGCAGGCGCGGCGCAGCCAGCGTCGTCAAACGCAGCGAGCGGAGCGGCGGCCGCCCGTGCAGCGGGTGATGCGGCATCAGCTTTGGCGCTGCTGCCATTCTGCTGCTCCTGCCGGAATGTCGGCTGCGCGTTCTCCAGTGGCGGGGGCTGCTGTGGCTGCTGCTGCGGTTGCTGCTGCTGCTGCTGCTGCTGCTGCTGCTGCTGCTGCTGCTGCGCGTAATCAGCCTCCTGCTGATCTGGTTGCCGCTCAACATGATCCTGCCCGCCGTGTCGCTGCTTGTCCTTCGCCGCCGCCACGGCCCCGTCCTGCGGCGTCGAACTGCCTGCCGCCGTCTCCGCCGCCGCCGCAGGCGCCGTCGCCGGCAGCCCCGCCCACGCCGCAGCGCCCAGCTCCGCCGCCGCCTCAGCCGCCGCCGCGAGCTGCCCGTATGCCTGCTCGCTGGCCGTGAGCGGGAAGCACAGGAGCGAAACCACGAAGCACAGCACAACACCCGCCAGCACCGACCCGGTGCGGTCGAGGGCGACGAGCCAGTGCCAGGTCTCGCGCTGCAGCGACGCGACCGAGACGACGACATACGTTGTGGCTATCAGCTTCCCCGTGTTCTCAAGTTTGATGTGCACCACGACAAGCTCCCCCAGGGCGGCCGCCAGCACCGCGCAGAGGGTCAGGACGACGGGAGACGCGCTCGCCGACGCGGCGTAGCCCAGGGCGCCGCCTTTGGTCCGGCGTGCGCGTGCAAAGGCAATTGATGGGAAACACGATTTCGACGCAGGCCTGCTGAGTCATCCCGCTGGTCGGTTCGTGGCCTCCGCCCAGTGATAGGGCGGCCGACGAAGCGGGGCAGACGGGTTCTTGTGCGCAGGGTTATGGCAGGCCCCGCAGGCAGGTGTGGAGTGCTGCATGCGGCACGTTGATTGCCGCGCACACGGCCCAAACGAGTGCATGCCCTGTCACCTGCGATTGTGCCCAGGCTGCGCTCTATGCCCTTGTTGGCGGCCTTGCCGATGATGGTGCTCGAGACGCTGATGTATGAGATGAGGACCCACTGCGCACGCTTGATCGGGCGAACGTGCGACGGTCGTTCAGCAGAGCTGGGCACGTAGGCACGCGCAAGTGAACAATTGTGTGTGTGCGCGCAGGCATCAAAAACCGTCCCTCAACCGCAGCATCGCCTGCCCAACCGCAGCAGCGAGGCTTGATGCGCCGCAGCCGCCCGGCTCGCCTGCATGCACTGCAGGGCGAAAGATCGTGGCAGGGGCAGCCGGCAGTGAGGGAGTGTGTTATGGAATGGGTGTGTGCCCGACTGCGGCGTGAAATGGCTGACGCCTTGCTGGTGTCGCACGCGTTAACCGCGTGCCATGCGGTTACTACCTCCTGCAGTTCTGCAGCTTCCCTGGCACTTCCACCCGCCGGCGAGCGGGGCGCACCTGTTGGAACTCGTAGTGGGCGGCAATGCTGGCGTGGGGCGCGGCCAGCTTTCCAAAGTATAGCAGTGCGCTGGGGACGGCCACACCCAGCCCCGCGCGCAGCATGTCGCGGTGATGCTGGCGCCACAATGACAGCAGCGCCGCCATGTGGCCCGCCGTCTCCTGTGCCCACTGCTGTTGCTACGTGCAGGCAAGGTTTGTTGGGCTGGTCAGTATGCGCTGCCGCGCAGCTGGCAATGTGCGCTGGTTCTGATCACTTCTTGTGTTCCTGCTGCGCGTGGTCGCTCACGCCGCACGCTGAGAGTTCAATGCGCGTGCCGCTATGTGCCATTGAGTATGGAAGACGAGTATGCTCGGCACGTCCATACCGTATACCGCAGGCAGCGCAACATCCTTCTCCGCTGTGGACAACGGAGTTGCAACGGGGCACCCGTGCATGTGTCCCGTTGACACACTTTGGCGCATCCTCGATGGCTCGACGGGTGCATGGGGCTGGTACAAGCTAGCCGAAAGTCAAACTTGAGTTAAGGGGCACGCAAGATCCAAGAAGGTACCGTGTCGCCGCCCAGTCAGAGTGATCTTGACAAGGGCGTCTGCTGTGCAGAGCCGCAACGCTCTGCATGCGGAATCCGCTACCCAATCCACGCACAGCCAGCATTGCTTGTTGAATGCTCACTTCCACATACAGCAAGGCAAGGCCTTGTAGGAATGGCAGACTGCCAGGGCGGACAGGTGAGCCTCCCGTGCAAGGATTAAAACGCCTGCAATGGATGCAACCGTCAGGCTGCCAGCTGCTGGCCTGCAGCTGGTCAGTGGCGACGGGAGTGCGGTGGGCCGCGCGGGATCTGTGCGCATTGTCTTGCCTGCCATGAACCTTGCGGGAGGCACGCGCCGGCTTGCTACCGCCCCTGCCCTACTTTGCCTTGGCACATGCCAGGCTGGTTGGGTTGAGAACACACCCGTCGAGCCACTTATAATCCCGACCCGCAGTCCACACAGGCATGCACAAACCAGCGGGCCTTGATGCAGCACAAGGGATCAAATGCCGGAAAGAAAAGGCTGCTGTGTAGGCGTCGTGCGTGCCAGCCAGGCTGCACGCCTGCATCCGTCTGCGCATGGATCTAGAAGGAAGCGACTGGGCGCTGGCAATGGCCCGGTATGGTGTGCTGGCAACGATTTCCAGGTCCGAAGCAGCCGGCGGTCTGCTGCCGGCTCGTTTTGGCTGTACAGCTTCCAGAGCCATGTTGCAGCTGAAGCTGACCACTGCTGCGCGGAGCGTCCGGCCTGCAGCAGGTATTGCTGTGCGCCGCTGGCCTGGTGCTCAAGTTACCCAGCCCGCTTCGGGTGCACTTCCTCAAGCTGCAAAGGATAAGATGCCTGTGACTACGTGATTACAGGGCCATACGTGGCGGCACAGAAAACCTTCTGCGATTACACCGCAAATAAGGCGACTCAGCATCAGGCTTGTGAGTGAGACAGATTGCGAACACTGCACAAAAGCACACCGTCATGCGCAGGCAGGCGCTCGTCACCGACGCCGGCTATGGTGCGGAGATCTATGTGGAACGAAAGGTGCAGAGACATGTGAGGCGAGCAGGTGCAGAGCTGTACAAGGCATGCACATGTGAAGACGGGCGCCAAAACTGCCCCGTGGGACCGCTTTCGTGACCAGGAGCCCTGCGGCAACAAACCTGCTGTCAGCAAGGGCGAAGCGACAACCTCGCTGAGCCGACTCGAGATAGAGGGGTGCTGGGAGCTCGGGATCTGAGCTATCCACGGTGGGGCCCCACAATGAGGGGCACAAGGGGCCGCAGGGAAGTGGCATGCGCAAAGCCTGTGCCAAAAGACACGGCCCACGGCATGCAGCAGCCTTGGCAGTGGGCGCCGACATGGGGGGAACATAGGCGCACACCCTGCAATCGGCATACGGCTTGAGGGGCGGCACTGAGCTGGGCGTGGCAGCACGCGGGCTAAGTCGCAGCCGTGTCTTGAGGGGTCGTGCTCAGAGGGAGTCTAGTTGAGGGCGTCAACTGCGATGCAATATAATGTACAGGTTGCATGAATGCAAGAATAAGCCAATGTGCAAAAGCCCAAGGAAGAGCAAATAACAGCGGCCGACCAACAACGTCGCAACAGCAGCGGGGCCGTGTGCGGCTGCCGCGCGGTCAATGAGGAACCGCCCCGCCGCCCGCCGCCCGCTGCCCTCGCCGCCGCCCCTGCTGCTCCTGTCCCTGCTGCCGCCCCTGCCGCCGCCCCCGCTGCAGCGGCGCGCCCAGCCGCCCGACCACCCAGCCGACCGGCCGACCGAGCCGTGAGAGCGCGCCAACCAGCCGCCGGTGCGCGCAGGGCCGGCACGCCAGGCCCGCGGCCAGCTGCGCGCCCGCGCGGCACGCGAGGCGCAGGCTACCGGCGAGGGCGCTGAGGCGCGGGAGGCCGATCAGCGGCAGGAACGCGACGGAAGACAGGCAGCCGCCGATGATGGCGCCGAGCGCCATGCCGCTGCAGGCCTCGGACGCCGCGCCCCTCGGCCAGAGCGCGACGACGGCCGAGTAAAGCTGCACCTGGGGGTGGCACGGGGTCAGTTGGGGTCGGTTGGGGTTGGTTGCGAGCCGTTGAAGCGCAGGTGGGATGTTGGGAGCAACTCGTTGAAGCGCAGGTGGGATGGTGGAAGCAACTCGCGACAAAGGGGCAGCGGTTTCACGAGGGCTGAGCCCTAGGAGCCGCCGGTCGAGGCAGCTGCAGCCGGTGCCTCGGCGCTGCGGCCCTTGCTCTTGTATAGCTCAGCATTATGGCCTGGCCTGGCAGGCGCCGACAGCACCGCTTGTGCTCCCGCCTCCATTCCTTACGCCCATGCCCGCCCACCTGCCAAACCGTTGTCGCATCAAAGCTGGACCGCACCTCCTCCGCCGTGCTGCACGGCAGCGCGAGCGGCCCGCGCCGCCAGAACCAGCCCGGCGCGGGCGCCAGGCGCCGCCGCATCATCGCGAGCGTCGCCGCGCAGCCGTCCGCCGCGACGAGCAGCCGCCAGCCGCCATGCAGCAGCCCCGCCCAGAACGCAGCGTCCCGCCGCGCGTCGCGCGCCCACCACCGCCGCGCGGCGGGGCCGCCGCCGCCGCC